TTGAACATTGGCTACCCAAAATGGGGGGGCCACAAAGGCAATAAGTGACTGGCTTACAAGTTTTCAAGAGGGGGCCTAGATTCAGAAGGTATGAAGGAAGGTAGAATCTCCACTGAATAGTATCCCATCTGTCTGGGTGGGACTGATGAAAGGAGATGGGGATAGGTCCCTTGTGGTAAAATAGTGAATAATTACTATCAGGACTGACTGTGATGGTTGGAAATGTAAGGGTAGACATTTTGTAGAGGGGAGTGGTTGACTTTGCAGTCCAGGAACGTAGGTCCCTGGCACCATCAAGTGAGAAGAGTGGAATACAGGACTCTACCCAGAGAAACAGTGATGCCAGAGATGGAGGCAAAAATGATTATGTGGAGAGATGGAGTGGCTGGAGACTCTAGACCCAGAGAGGGAGAGGGGCTGTGTGCTGACAACGGAGAGGCAGGCTTGTAGGGTATATCCTTTGGTTGATGATGCATGGAGGGGACTGTAACCATGGCAATGAAACGATATATGGATATATGATAGAGTGAATGTAAAGCTAATGTTCTCCCATGTAAACTATCACATAATTTACAATAAAATGTTAAAAAAGAAAAGACAAAAAAGGAAAAGATCATGATATGACCCTGATTACAATGCAATAATGAACCTCCCCATCACAGTCGGAATCAATGTAATGCACCACACCCATGCTTTCCAGAAAAACCACTCCCCTACTTCCCTCCACCCCAGAGCTGACCACTTTGATCACCCCAGAGCCTTTGCACATGCTATTCCCAATGCTGACTTCACATTGCACTACATCCTCACAGAGCCTCATGTCTCTACTCAGCTGTTACCCTCTTGATGGCTTCTCTGACACTTGTTAAAAAAAAAAAAAAAAAATCATTTCTGGTGATGAAACCTGGATTCATCACTATGAATCTAAGAGTAAATGGAAGAGTATGGAATGGGAACCTCTTCAAACGCTGAGCAAGAAAAAGTCAACCATTGCTGGAAAATGATTCTTAGAGTTTACTGCAATTCTCAAGGAACTTTATGGGAACACGATCAGGAAAAAAAGTTTAAACAATCAATTGTGCTCATTAAAGTTAGATATTCATGGAAGAGCGGAAGCTTAAATTTCTGATTAAACTCAGAGGATGGCTAACTGTGGGCATTGTGTTCTTATATGACAATTCACATCCATACACCTTTGCTCGCACTGTTGACAGTGCAAAAATTTCATTTTGAGGTGTTAAAGCATCCCCCTTCTAGTCTGATCTTGCTCCATCAAACTTTCACCTGTTTGGTCCATGAAGCAGTCCTTTGAGAACAAAGACTCAATTCTGATGAAGAAATGAAGACAGTGCTCTGTTCATGGCTTGTAGTTCAGTTTAAATTTTTTTAAATAAGTGAATATGAAAACTTGTTGATAGATGGGCAAAGTGTATTGAAAATCGAGGACATTATTTCAAATAATGATATATTTGTCTTTTCTAAAAGCTGATTAAGACACATTCTATAGACAGAGTGCAAATAATTTTTGACTCACCCTCATATAATATTTTGTGGTGCTTCAGGAGACTATGGAACAAATTTGTGACATGGAAACAGTAGCATGTTTAAAGTTTCCAGTGTTTTCTTTAGGACAGTGAAGATTGCAGTATAAGATTTAAACAATGTAAGTATAAGGCAGTCATCCCAAAATGTTGATACTTGTAGTCAGATGATGAGAACATTTCCATATGAAACATTGAAGGGAAAATGGTCCATGGGAC